ATCCCGCCAAGACCAAATACATTAACATTGTCATGTACATTACCATGCCAATCCCTCCGAGAGTTGTCATGACAGATATATATATATATATATATATGTATATATATATATATATGAAAATATGAAAATTGAATACTAAGAATACTAAACCAATTATTCACTTCTGGGGTTTTAGGTGTGTCAAATATTAGATTTGTGTTGTGTAAATGTATATATATATATATATATATATGAAAATATGAAAATGAAATTCCCTGAATACTAAACCAATTATTCACTTCTGGGGTTTTAGGTGTGTCAAATATTAGATTTGTGTACATTTAAATGTGTAAATGTCTCTATTTTGCAATCATTTGCACAAATCTATAAAATCTATTCTTAGAGTTGAAATATGAAAATGCATCTTGTATCTTGGCCAGATTGCTAACTTCTGATAAATTAATTAATTAATAAAGAATAAATAAATAAGACTTTCATGATCACTCATTGAATGAATCAATTAAGCCTTGAATATTTCCATTGTATAAATACTATAATTTTGATTTAAAATTGTGTGCTGTTGGGTCAGACTTGTTGGGAAATTCCAGATTTAGATCATACTTGCAAGTTTATATCTTGTCTGTAGATGCTGAGGAGTGGCTGTAGCTAGTTGCTACAACAAATAGTGCTGTTCCATAGAATTTGAACTAGCCAGTTAAGCAGAATTTAACATGAACAGCAATTAATGGCAACCCCTACTGGCCTCTGGGAATCCATTGCCAAAATGAAGAAACTTACAACTGCCAATGGATTTCCCTGGAGTTCAGTGAGGGTTGTCACTTGTTACTGTTTATTCTGCAGTGCAGTATTAATATGCCATGAATCTGTCTTATTTTTCCACCCTTCCTTTCCAATGTTGCAGTCAGTTACTATTGGATAAAATCAAGCCCTATATTATTTGTCAAAATTTTGACTCAGAACGGAAGTAAAATGAGTTACAGATGGCATTCACATTGACCTTAAAGGCTGTTAGAGATTAGAAATACAGACGTGGACAGAATTATTCAACAATGTTCACCACAGGGTGGCAAATGGGCATTTGACATGTTTCAAAAAAATGTAAACAACTGGTTATAGTGGAAAGGGTTTTCATTTTGTGGTAAAGCCACATGTAGCATTTTACTACATGTCAACCTCAGAAATTTCACACAAATCCTGCACATAAAAACTAGGTACATGCTGTTTTAATATTTTCTGAAATACATTTTAGTATTTATTTCTAATTTAGAATTAATTAACTCATGTGATATTTACACAATTTCATGACATATAAATAGACTTTAATTCCTGCTAATGTGGACTAGCTAATGACCAGCTCCCATGTTTCCAAAACACAGCTACCAGCTTAAAATGGATTTTCCATGGATTTGGCTTATGGCTAACTTCAAACATGTCTGGTTTAAATGAGGGCTTTCTGCCACACCAAGACACAAGGAGTAAATCAAGCAAGAGTGAAACATGTTAAAGGGGACTAGAAGCCTTCATTCTAGTACTGAACATGTAGGTACAAAGTGGGATTGTTCCATTCCTGGGTGTTAGCTTACTGGACAGGAAGTGCATGTTAGGGTCACTTGGGAATGATCGGCTACAGGCCAGCCCACTTCTGTTAAAATAAGAAACACCTTTGAATTTGAAAGGAAACTTTAAAAAAAATCTATTCACAAAGTGAGCTGTGTGACTGCCTGTCTGATCCAGCCTTTCCAAGTAAAAGGTTATGGCTAATACTGGAGGAGTAATACACAATTAAGTTTAACAGTGGCCTTTCATTCTGAAACGTCACAGAAATAACTGGTTCGAATATCTGATTTGTGCAGTGAGCTGGTGAAACTAATCAAGCTTGTGATTGTGTTCTTTTGCAAATGCATTAATCTGATCTCAGCTGTTTATATAATGATAACGATGCCTGATAATCAGACAAAACATATTTTACAGCAGTGGTTCTCAACTGGTTTTGCTTTATTCCTATTAAATTCACATTTAATGTAATCTGGGATGGATTTCAGATTAATTTTTGTGCCAGCAGCTTTCTGATTTAGGGGTTGTAACTCATCATTAACACATCATTGTTACACATGTAAGATAAGTCCATAAAGTGTGATGAAGATTGTTGTATTATTATTATTATTTTCTTTTTATCCTGTTGTGTTCCACAGACAAAGCATCCACTGGGAGGGAAAGAAAGAAATAAATAAAGAAACAAAGAAAGAAAGAAAGAAAGAAAGAAAGACAGATTCATCAATTTGAGATCTCTGAGATGCTACTGTAACAAATGTGCCACTGCCACCT